CCAAACCTTGGTGCCTTTGCCTAGAGGGAGAGAGAGGCCTGTAGGCCACTTTTTGTAGCTATAGGCTACTCTTCTCTCTTATAGGCTTTTTGTAGCGGTGGCCGGTAAGCTAGTTTTGGGAGCTTTCGGCAGAGTGCCTTGTCTTGGGGTCTCTTGGACCCCTCTTCCTTTTGGTTTGTTTTTGGACCATACCTTGTTGCCTCTTGCTTAGGAGGGGAGAGGGCCTTGCCGGCCACTTGTGGCACTTGTTGGCCACTTTTCTCCTTTGTAGGCCACGTAAAGTGGCCGACCGACCAATTAACTGGCCGGCAGGACACCTTAATTGGCCAGCAGCCACTTTTTCTCCTTTTTAGATATTTTTAGATATTTTCAGCCAGCTGTGGCTCACTAAACTCACCCTCCATACACGTGTATGGAGGGATTGAGCAAGCTTTTTGGCTTGCTTGCTCTATAAAAGGGGAGCTTCCTTCCCCTTGATTTTGGTTCAGAAAATTTTAGGGCTAACATATCCCTCTCTATCTAGAATTCTCCCGCTCTCTCTATATTTGTGCTATATTGAGTCTAAAAGTGAGTTTTCTTCATACTTTTGCACTAAGACACCTAGTTAAGCACCTTCACTTTGGAGCTGAGGTCTATTGGAGCTTGTTTTGAGGTCTTGGCATTGGTTTTGGTCCAAAATTGTTACTGAAGTTGCTGTCTTGGTCTTGTTCTTCAAGGGTAAGCCCATAGCCCTTTTAAAGTTTTGTTTTGGTTAAGTCTTTTACCACCTTTGCATGCTATTTAAAGGCTGGTTTTAGCCTCTCAGTAACTCTGATTTTAAGGCTTTATATGTTGGTTTGAACCTTGTGGGGTTAGGAGGGGTGGTCCCTCTATTTTGCTCTTTGGCTTGTTAAGCCTTTTGAGCCATCTTCCTTAGTTTTTGGAGCCATCTCATTTTGGACTTTTAACCACTGAAACTCAGAGGAATTTCAGTGGTAAAAAGTTGCTCTTGTGGTCCAAAATAGGAAGGGGGTGGTCCCCCTCTCCTTTTGTCTTGCTTGTATGCTTTGTTGGCCTCATACTTGAGCATGCTCTTTTACTCTTTTATGACCTAGCTCAAGCTTGTTTTTGTGGCTTGTTGGACCTGCCATAGCTCTGTTTTTGGTTGGTTTAGCCATTGGTTGCTTGCTTCTTACACTTGTAGTGTAATTCTTGCAAATTAGCCTTGTATGCTTAATGCTTTGGTCCATTATTCTAGCATGTATTGGCTCCACTCCAGCATGTTTTTGGTCATTATTTAACATTCCTTAACTCTGATTTTTGTTGGTGGAGTCACCTCTTGCTTGGTTTTTGTACTTGTAGTGCAATTCTCTTTGTAGGCCTAACATGCATCATGCATTATGCCTTCAATCCTAGCTTGTGTTAGCTCTATCTCAGCATGTATTTGCTATTATTTTGGCATACCTTAGCTCTATTTTGAGTGGTCTTGGCCATGTGAGAGTTGTTGTGTACGGTTGTAGTGTAAGGGCCTTGACTAGCTTTGAGTTTCAAAGCGTCTTGCATGCTTTACTTGTGGTGATTGCATGCCTTAGCCTTATTTCTCACATGATTTCAGTGTGTATAGCATAGTCTCCGTCTCACATATTCCATTCTTTCATAGCTTTTGTGAGTTGTGCCTTATGCCTTGTTTATGAGCCAATACGTATGCATGCTTGCCTAGGCTTCTGGGTTGCCATCTCAACCTGTTTTGGTCTTTGTTTTGGCCTAATTGAGCTCTGTCCATAGCTAGTTTAATCATTTGTGCCATGTATTGCATGCCTCTTGTGTAGTGCCCGTTACTAGCCTTGTGCCTTAGGCCTCATGGCATGCCTTATTTGTGATGTTTATGTGATATGGCATCATTTCTCACATGATTTCAGAGCATATAGCCTTGTTAAACTCTCATGTTTATCACTCTTTAATTGTGTTTAAGAGTTGTGCCCTTATGCCTTGTCGATGAGCCAATGCATAAGCATCATTATCTTGCCTTTCATGCTATCATTTCAGAGTGTTTTGGCCACTATTTTGGCATGCATAAGGTTTGTTTGGGACTAGTTTGGTCCATTGGGTATTGCATTAGTTTTCAGATA